TCAAACGACGATTGGATAAGGAAGGCTATAGAGTTTATGGACATGGACAGACTTTCGTGCCTACTGGAAAATCAGGACAAGAGGAATTCAATTAACTGGAATCAATTTAAAGAATACTTAAAAAAGAAGCAACTAAACTGAAAGCTACAACCTCTGTGGACCGAACGGAAGTTACCAGAGATTCACTACTCTCCCCTCTTCCCCCCCATCCCCCCTTCTTTCCCCCCTTTCCCCCTTTCCTTTGCCCAACCTCTTCCCAGTCTGCCCCCACTTCGAACCCTCACTTCAACTATTTTCCTACTTTACTATCACTGAGATTGTTCCCACTCTTTCAATGTTAAAAGGAAAACTTTAATAAAAATTAATTTAAAAAAAATAAGAAAATTTGAAACAGTAACCAAACATCCCAGGCTCAGCCATCAACCCAGGCATTGTCTGACCAATCAGCTTCATGCATCTTCTTTTGTCCGATGGTTAAGCTTTCATAGGTAAGATGAGCACACAGGCCATAAAAGGAGAAACGTGGCTTGCGGAAGGGGCAACGGCAGCCATAGGCAGTCCTGGGCCACTGAAGATGCCTCAAGAGAAACCACAACAGTGAGCTCAGAATCCACAAAAGGCAAGAGTTGGCCTGAGCCACAGAGCCCACCTGCTGCTAAGGAGAAGACCCACCCTGACAGCTATACCTCCTCACGGTCCTCCAGCTCTTTCACCCAGCGAAGTGGAGAGTGGCCAGCTGTCCCTGGAGCTCAGTCCTGCAGGCGGCGGCAGCATCATCCAGGTGGCCCTTGACGACAGCGATTAAGAGCTCATCTGGGACAAAAGAACGTTTTTGCAGCAGCTGGGACATGACGCCCAAGGTATGCAAGAGAGTAGCCACTCTTCCCTGTCATGGCCTGTGGCTGCAGGCGGCGGCAGCAGCATCCTTCATGGCTCGAACGTAGAAAGCAGGAGGTTCAGGTCCATGACTCGGTGCAAGACTTAAAATGGAAAGGACACCGCCAAGAGATGATCCTCCTCAGAAAAAGCAGCAGCTTTCCCAGGAGCCCAGTTCTGCAGGCGGAAGCTGCAACATCCAGATGGCCCTTGAACACACCGAGGAAGACATAATCTGGGACAAGACAGTTTATGCAAGAGAGGAGACACTTTTCCATGTCAGCCCCCCCTGGGAAGAGCAGCAGCTTCTCCCTCCCCCGCTGTCCTGCAAGGCACCTCCTTTTCTTCGGTGGATGACCAGGGTGGCCTCCATCATGGCCCTTGAAGACACCAAGGAAAGCATCATCTGGGACAAAAGACAGTTTATGCAAGAGAGCAGCCACT